CATTTTAAAAGTTAAAGTATTTAGGAGCCAGGGATTTAGCTCAGTGGTTCCACCGCCTGCCTTGCAAGAGCAAGGATCTGAGTTCGATCCCTGGTACCAAAAAAAAAAGTTAAAGTATTTAACCTTTTTTTAAAAAAAAAAGCCAAATTTGTCTTTGTCAAACAAGGCAAAACACAATCCACTTAGCTCCACCCAGGGATGCCGACTTACCTAGACAGAGGAGCCCTGCAGGCACAGCATGGCGGAGCAGGGTAGCCACAGACAGCCACCGTCGGAACAAGGGCAGCAGCAGCAGGAGGCCCAACAGCAGGCTCAGCTCGGCCCTGAAGACAATGATGGCCAGCGCGGAGAGCCAGATGAAGCAGGCCCACCGGTGCCGCAGCCAGGCCACCAGGGCTGGCAGCACTGCAAGACAGCAGGCAGGGGTCAGCAGGCCCGGCCTACCCAAGAGTGCCATGGGGGGAGGGGTCCTTTAACTCAAGCTGCTTCCCACTCTAGGGCACTCAGGAACCCTCCCTGAGCACAGGGATCCCAGACTGGGCCCCCAGGCAGCCCACGCCTAGCTGCTGCAGGGAGATGTATGCTCACGCATGGGAAGCCGCGTCTGTGGACCCAGCCACCACAACGTACCCACCACCAGTGCCAGCACATTGGGCAGCGTCCTCGTGCAGTAGAACATCAGGTGGAACTGTGTGGCTGTCACCCAGCAGAACATAGTGGCCACCGTGGCCCCAAACTGCCGTCTCACTTCTCTTTGTAATGTCCACAGTCCCCAGATCATGCCCAACCCGAGCACTCCTCTGACTAAACAAAGAAACAAAGACAGCACACTGAGGCTGTGGCAGACAAGACAGCAACTCAAAGGCCCCCTGGAACCTGCAGCAGCCCTGGGGTAGGTGCACCCAGACACTGGGCACCTGCAGACCTTCTGCCCCAACGTGGCCCCAGCCCCTACTGGGCTCCTGACACCTCCGCACCACAGCAGGGCCCGCTGGTGACCCATGTGGTGTGATCGCCACATCCTAAGCTGCCCTCCAAGGAGGGGGCTGTGTCTCCAGGAACCCCCACTTTCCAAAGCTCTCCCCACAGGCTGGACAAACCAGGTGCGGGAACAAGTTTGGGTCAGTAGGGGAAAACTGAAACAGTCTGTATTATAAGCATTAAAAACTTACAAAAATGGGAAAATGATAACTGCTGACTAAAAACAAGTCCAGCTGCAGAACAACATGCACAGAAATGTTCTCAATGTGGTTTGGAAAAGTATGAGCATCAAATGCGATTCGAGCAGAGGCATGGGCCGCGGGGGTCCCCACCACAGGCAGTGACCATCACCAGCGTATGACGTATTTCAAAGTAACCCAAGAGGCCACAAGGCTCCTCACATATACTGGCTGGACACAGTGGTGCACGCCTGTAATCCCAGCACTTGGGGGCTGTGAGTTGAAGCTCCCAGCCTGGGCTACACAGTGAGACCCTGCCTCGAAAACCCAAGAAAAAAGGAAAACAGGTTCCCCACACACAGAAGTAATAAACACTGGGAGAGACGGAAGTGCTCATTTCCCCGATATGGTCATTACAGTCCATAAGCATGTGTGGAATTATACTGGACCGGAGTACTGATATCATGTCTCAACTAAAATTTTTAAGAAGCTCTCAGACAGACACAGAGAGGACCAGAAGAATCTACAACCAGGCCAAGGTGATGGTGTCCAGGACGCGAGGCCTGTCTGTGTGTGCTCAATGCAGGTATGCTGTCCCTAAAGCAAAGGCTCTGGAGTCCCTGCAGGAAGCCGCCTCACCCCAGTGCACAGTGCGTGTGCTTGCACATCTGGGTCTGACCACCAGACATGTGACAATGTGGGCCAAGGGTGAGGCATACAACCCCAAATGAGAAGACGCTTATCCAGTGGACTGAAATTGTGTGATAATGCCACCATGCTCCCCTCATTTGAAGACCCCCTTACCTATCAGCTGGGAGTAAAACTTGGACACTTCCAACAGTGAAAGCACATACACCATAGGGCTGGAGAACACCGCCAGCAACAGTGGCCCAAGGAACGTCCTGGGGACAACACCAGGGAACTCATGGTGGTCATACTGTAAAAGAGGCAAGGACAGGAATGTCAGCAAGAGGCCTTCGGGAAAACCAAGACCCTCTCCCAAGGGGTAGTGGCCTCACCTCATCCACCTCCAGCTGGTGGAAGAGCAGGTCGTGTGTGGCCTGCAGATTGAAGCTCTCCTCCACCTTGGTGTAAGGACAGGCGACAAGGTGGACAGCGGCAGTGGTGACCAACAGCCCCAGCAGTGGCAATACGGGCTGCCTGCATGACGGCTTTTTCCCAGACATGGGAGCTGCGCCAGCAAGTGCCTTCCCAGAACAGCCGTCAGCACCACTAGCCTGAAACAAAGAGTAGGGCTCCTGGGTCTCAGAAGCCTTTATGTCTGTGCAGTCTGGGGCAGGGTCCCACAGTCCCCTGCTAGTCTCCTGACTCCTGTGGTCCTGAACACTGTCAAAACAGAAAGCTGAAAGAAAAGTAAGGGTGGAGAAGCCTGCAGTCCTAGGCAGCTCTCAGATCTCCTGGAGATGCCAGCCACAGAACCAGCACTACGCCCGACCGAGGAGAGTAGTGACACACCCCTGCCCTTCAGCAGGTCAATTTCAGGAATCAGGCCAAACCCACCTGGCCTCCTGAACAAGCCACAAGACATGGAGTGGAAGGGACACACCTGGAAGGCAAGAGAGGCACAGCTGCCAGGGACACAGGGCGCAGGGCAGCCACAGAGCCCTCACTCCCAGGGACAGCAGGGGGTGTGGATGCTGCAGAACTTCACCTGGGGGCCTGGGAGAGCCTGGAAGGCTTTCCCAAAATGAAACACATGCTGCTGGAAGTGGATGACCTTGGGGAGCCCTGGCAGGGAGCTTCCTGAGAACCCATGAGACCCAGTGGCAGCACACGGAAGACATGGGGAGCAAATGCAGCTGCATGTCTCTGAGTTGTTCCAAAATAGGTCTGATTTTATTGTCAAAACCAGAAGGATCAGAAGCCAAGGAGGGGAGTCTTGGCACTGTCTATTAAAGCCACTTCATAATCAGAGTTACACCATCATCAGCAAGCAGCAGATCGTGAAAGTGAGGAACAGAGCAGACCAGAAGGACCAGAGATCCCACACGATACGGGTGGGCAAAGGGAAAAAGGGGCCTTAAGAATTTTAGGGTGACAAAATGGCAAGCAGTTCCTGTTAGAATGATGTAACTTTTTTTCCATTTCCAAATATAAAAATGTAAAAGAAAAAATCTAACAGCCAGTTGGAAATGCTGTGCCCTGGATAGAGGAAGGCACTGTAGTCTATTTGTCCCCCTCTTTTAAGCTCCATGCGGGCAGGGTGTCGACCATTTTTCCCACCACCATCACCTGAGCACTAAGGACAGATGCTGGGCCTTCTCGAGGGACCAGCCCAGTGGCAGATGGATGACATCCTGGGGCAGGGCTGGCTGCCAGCGCAGTGGCCACTCAACAAACCAGCTGGAGAAGAAATTCAATAAAACCTCTGGAGCGGAGACCTCCTCACACAATGAATCCAGAGGCCACAGAACACTCACATGAGATACTCTCTCCATTCCTCCCACTGGCAGGAAAAAAGAAAAGGTACAGAAATAGGAAGCACTCATGCCACACCTCCAACACAGCTGTGGAGGAACTGAAGCCCAGCAGGGGCCCTGCAAGGTAAATCCAAGCTGTGGGGCAAAATGCTCCCTGCAGAACCCACCCTGACCCTCCCCCAGAGAGGGTCGTGCTTGCCTCTGAGTTTCAAAGGCACCAAAAGACCTAGGGTAAGAAAGCTCAACCCAGAGCATGACATGGCAAAGGCAAAATACCACGGACCATCGAGCCTCCCGGGGGAGAGCTGGTGCCCTGCTTGGCAGCCCTGTTAATCTGAAGCGGCAGGTGCCTTGGGTGTATCCACAGGTTCAAACAGGCTCAGGCCACTCTTAACGACTGCGACTTCTAGAGTGACAACATCTCAGATTAGGAAATGGCCTTCTAAGGCCCTTTTCCCCTATCAATTTGGATTCCCAGGCCTCCACTAAAATTGATCAGCTCACACGTACAAATTACTGGTCTCTCGGCTGAGAACAGAAACGACCTGGTGCAAACTTAAATTGTGGTCAACTAAAGACCATATAAAATTGAGTTGTTTGTACTTCTTCTGATTATTCTTCCCTACATCGCCAACAAGAATTCTTTAAAATCCAGATAACACACACTTTTATTTTTCCTCATTTAAACTAGCTGGGTCAGTGAGTGCCCATCACCTCAGGCACACCTGGAATTGCAGATTCCAGGGCTCCTAGAGACGCTGCACGATCGCAGGTGCAGAACTCATGTACCCAGGTGCCGGTCCGTTCCCAGGTGAGCGGTCCAACCCCCCAGGTGAGGAGCCCGGCGCCCCAGCGAGAAGCCAAGTCTCAGGTAGAAATCAGCGCCCAGGTGAGGAGGCCGGCGGCCGTCACGCGTGATAAGGCCCGAGAAATGCTGCGGCCAACACCGGCTCCGTGCCTCCGCCGCCCGCCCCAAAAGCCCGAACCTCGTCCTTGCCCTTGAGAGTCCAGCCTTCGCGGCGCGCGCTGACCTCTCCCGCCCCCGACGCCGTCAGTTAGTTTGATCGCCCCAGCTGCGCTCTGCCGGAAGCGAGACGACGGAAACAGGGCACGGAGGTGAAGCCCTTGCCCAACTCTAACATGGCCACCACAGCCCTGCTGCAGCCGCGATGACGCGCCCTCCTACCCCGGAGTAAAAATGGGCGCCACGGCCTACGCGTGCGAGGGGCGGGGCATGAGGATGGGCTTGGATTCCGCGGCCGGTTCCCCTCCCGCAGGATGCTGACCCGGGGCCTCCCCATTGGTCGCCGCTCGTGGCGAGTACGGATTGGGCTACATCGGGACGGGGCGGATCCTCCCGGCCAATGGAGTCGGGCGGGCTGTGGGCTGGGCGGGGACTCGGCGGTGTAGTCTAGTAGCCCCGGGAACTGCCGGCGCGGGCCGGGTGGGCGGAGGCGGAGCTGTCAGTCGCCCTGAGCTGCTGGTCGCTTGCCCGCCATGCGCCCCCCACCCTCCGCCGTGCTCTGTCTATTGCTGCTTCTGCTGCTGCTGCTGCTTGTGCTGCGGCCCGCGCTCGGCACTGCCCGGAAGACAACGCCCTGCCAGCGGTGTCGGACCTTGGTGGACAAGTTCAAACAGGTGGGCCGGGGACGCAGGGCAAGGCTGGGGCCTCGGGGGTCGGAGCCTCGAGGACGACAAAGCTGGGGTCACTGAGGAAGGCGGGGGTCGCGTTTTGGGTCCAGGACCCGGGCGCGCAGGAAGCCGGTGCCACCTTCTCCACAGGGCATGGCCAACACGGCCAAGAAGAACTTCGGCGGCGGCAACACAGCCTGGGAGGAGAAGACGCTGTCCAAGTATGAGTTCAGGTGGGTGCCTGAGGCACCTGGCTTTGGGCTGGCCGCCAGGTATCCCAGGGTCCTGTCCTGAGGACAGTCACACAGGGTCCCCAGCCTCACCTGCCCCTGTTTCCCTGTGCCATTGGCCTGGGTCTGCTGAGCTGGCCCCGCACTGGCTTAGCGGCGTCCTCGGCGTTCCTACTCCCACTTCTCAACACCCACACAGGGTGACCTTTTGAAAAGGCCAAGTGAAGCACCCATCCCATCCCTGGGCTGCCCCTTCCCTCTTTCCCTGGAGCCCAGCCCCCTAGACACCTCCCAGGTCCCCGTTTGATGTGTGGATTCAGGTCCCAGTTTCCCTCACTAAAATGGGCTGAGTTCCTGTGGCCGTGGCATATCTGTAAAACAACCCTCCGGGTCCTGGCGGGCTGTGTTTCAGCGAGATCCGGCTCCTGGAGATCATGGAGGGCTTGTGCGAGAGCAGTGACTTCGAGTGTAACCAGCTGCTGGAACAGCAGGAGGAGCACCTAGAGGGCTGGTGGCTGCAGCTGTGAGTCCCGGGCCAGACTGACAGCTTTTCGATCGCCTCAGAGAAGTTACAGAAACAGTGGCACACTCCGCATCACTGTCCCATCTCAACTGCGAAGGCTGCCATGCTAGGAAGCTGGCTAGAAGGGCCCGTGCCCCCACTCGAACACCCACAGAGCATGTACAAGTGTCCTAGCCTGTAGGGTGGCTCAGTTCCCACCGCCAACCTCAGTCTAAAGATATCACTTGGAGAATTTCAGAGTCAAGCAATCCACAGGTTTTACATAAGTTTTAGTACAACACTTATTACATTTGTTATTTTACTATTAGTTACTGTCTTACTGTGCCTAATTTATAAGTTAAATTTTGTCACAAGTATGGATATGTAGGTGAAAGCATAGTACATAGAGGTTTTGGTATGAGTACCCACTGAGGGTCTTGGAACTTATCCTACAGGGATAAGTTTCATTATACAGCACGTTTGCCACCTGAGATCTAACAACAGTGTCACATTCTCAGGAAGAAGGAACACCCGGACCTATTTGAGTGGTTCTGTGTACAGACTCTGGAAGTGTGCTGTTCTCCAGGGACCTACGGGCCAGACTGTCGTGGTAAGTTTTTTCCTTGAGCAGATCTCAAGTCTTTGTTCTTTTTATTCTTCTGTGATTCCCAGAGATTTAAATGCACAGAGGGGACCTGAGCTGCATCAGCTTCTGGGGCCCTGCCTCTTCTATAAAATAGGCAAGAGTTCCTACCCTGGTGCTGTGCGGCACCTGTACCCAGACTGTAGATGTTCTCTGACTTGATTTTGAAGGAGATTCTCCCTAGGCTGGAGAACTGAAGTCAAGTTTCAACACACATTTAATATGGAGGTCACACAGGAACCCACCTGGGCAGCAAAGACTCGCTTGGAGAGGGCTTGGAATGGGGCCTGGCAGGTGCTTCTGTGTGCTGAGGTGGAGCTGGGCTTACTCTTGGGAGTTGGAGAAGCCACTATTGGCCAGGCTGGGACAAGTGGCAGGAGTTTCAAGTTCAGCCCCTGTACGGGCTGTCCTACCTTCCTCTTCCCCCAGCTGTGTAGTCCCCCACGCTAGACGCATAAGCATCCTTTCCCAGCTTTGAGTAAGGCTGCCCAAATCCACACTTAGTGGCTATGTTGGGGGTCTTGGCTCACTTCCACATAGGTGACCCCACCTTGGCTCTGGAGGCCCTGGAGCCACTGTCCTCTGATGCCCTCAACAGGCTAGTAGTCTCTTCAGGGTGATGCAGGGCTTGGATCTTAGGGAGAGGCCCAAACAGCCACCCCAGGCATTCCTTGAGCACAGGTTTGTGCCCCTCCAGCATGCCAAGGTGGATCCGAGAGGCCCTGCAGCGGGAACGGCCACTGCAATGGAGATGGCAGCAGACAGGGGGATGGGTCCTGCCAGTGTCACACAGGCTACAAGGGAACACTGTGCACTGACTGTATAGATGGCTACTTCCAGTCACTGAAGACCGAAACCCACAGCACCTGTACAGGTAGGGGTGGCCCTGGGCTGGGGTGGGCTGCATAGGTGGGAGCAGGACACCTGTTGACTCTCAGCCCAGGTTCCCACAGAGCATAGAGGCCTGAAGGTGTGGCGAAGACATCCCTGAACAACCAGTTCCAGGAGGAAACTACATGCCCCTTCCAGCCTTCTGGGAAGAACTAAGAGCTCAACCCATTGACTGGCAGGTTCTGTCACCCTGCACTAGCTACCCTTGGTTCTTGCACCTGACACCTAATGTGGGCTGCACTCCATTGACTATCCACAGTGTTCTGGCTAAAGGCTTGCTGTCCCCACAGGACAGATGGTCCCTCGAAAGCCCTGCTAAGTGTCCATGGGACAGGCAGAGTGCAGAGGCAGGGGTAAGCCACTCAGATGAGGCTTAGAGGGAGCAGAGGTGTACTGAGCCAGCAGGAGACACACATGGGAACAGAAGGCCCCTTGGTGGGCCACTGCTGACCTGGACCCACACAGCCCCTCCTGAGAAAGCTGTCATGCTGATGGGATGCCACTGCTGCTGCTCATGCCATCAGAGCTGCGCACAGTGCATCCGCCTTTGTTCTCATTGGCTCACCAAGAAGCTGTGTGTGTTGACTGCTTGCTTAGAGCTCTGCCTGCCCGATGGCTCTGCAATCAGGCCAGGCCCCTCTCCAGATCTTGTTCCTGCTCTGTCCTTCTGCCTCTCAGCAGTGGGTGTGGCATATTTGCACATGGGGGTCAGTGATGGGAATGAGTCCCAGCCAGTGTGGGCCCCAGGGTCTGGGGAGCCTTCTCCAAGCTGTAAAAACTCCTGGAGTCCTATGGCAAGCTGAGCGTTTCAAGGGTCACAGCACGAAGCCCCAGGTGATGGTTCTCCAAAGCCTGTAAGTGTTCTGAGCCTCAGAAGACGCTTCTCTATTGAGCTGATCTTGCTATTCTTTTCTGTTCTCATGTTTTATTCCCCTGCTGAACTTGAGTTCCTACCATGAGCTCTCCTCTGCATGGGTGCCTGAGAATGGACCCACACACTCTAAGGATGTCCCTAACACATTCACCTTTGCCTTCTAGCCTGTGACGAGTCCTGCAGGACGTGCTTGGGCCCAACCAACAGGGATTGCAGCAATTGTGAAGCCGGCTGGGTGCGCATAAAGGACGCCTGCGTGGGTGAGGGGCACTGGCTGTGGGAAGGCAACTCTGGTGTTGTCAAGCATCCCTGTGGGTGTGGCCACCCTGACTCCTGGCTTCCCGCAGCTCTGGGTTGCTCTGTGCCTGGCACTGGGCCTTCAGCCTGGAAGAGGCATCACCCCTAACTGGGCTGGCTCTGGGGTCCACACTGTGGTGCAGGGTCGCATAGGCCCAGCCATGGCCTTGTTTGTGGCATTCACCGCCCACGCCCCACCCCTGTGGCCACCCCCTGCTTCTGTGCTGTCTGTCACTGTGCTCCTCTGTCTGAGCACGGGGGCTGCAAAGCCCGTCCTGTCCACCTTGGACAGTGCAGGTGCCCGCCAGTGGGCTGCCCTCTTCCCTCCCTGGGTGTGGCTTTTGGTTTCACACCTCAGCAGCTCTTTGGGCTTAGGCGAATTAGGCGCTCGGCCCCATCGGGCTGCACAGCTCGAGTCAGGCGAGCGAGAGGCCCGGGGTGGGTGTTCACACGCTGGCCTTCCATCCCAGTCGCCCCCACCCCGCCCTTCCGGGGCTGTTCTTGAGGCTTCCTCCGCCAGCTGGGCCTACGCTGCTGTGCTGTTCTGTTCCAGATGTGGACGAGTGTGCAGCAGACGCGCCTCCCTGCAGTGACACCCAGTACTGTGAGAATGTTGCCGGCTCCTACACCTGTGAAGGTAGCCCGGGTGCGGGGACACTCGTCCTGGCTGGGCCCAGCCAGGGCTCTCTCTTCCTAAATGTCTGTGACTTCTTGGCCTAACTTCAGAACATTCTGTTTTTAAAACATTTAACGTGGCAGAAATAGTAGGTACTAGTTGCAAAAAAATCTTTATGCTTCACACTAGTGAGTGTGACGCATGCTAGTCTATTGGACATTTAATCCATAGTGGTATCCCCAGCCTACTAAACTTGCAGTATCCTCCTAGGTAAAACTCCACCTTTCAAATAGCCGAGCCCAGGGAACATGTGTTGAGGGTCATATCGTCCCCTGGGCGGTTGTACCACTTCAGAGTCGCAGCAGCAGGGATTTCAGCAGCAATGTCCTTGACAGGGGACATAGGAGACTCATGAGGGTCCCCACCTGATTACTCTCATGAAGCTCCCAGGGAATAAGCCAGCCCCGTCACAGGCCAGAGCCAAGTTCCACTTCGAGGGTTCTCCCAAGTGCGTCTCCCAAAGTCTTCTGTATCTCTTCTCTGGCAGCACAGCTAGGACAGAGACAGAGGTGATTCTTAGAAAGTCACTGTGGTGACTCACAAGGAGAAAACCCAAATTCCCAGCCAGGAGTGCGGTGTCAGACACTGACATGAGGACATGGCAGGCTGACGTCATCTCCTATCTTTGTTTCCAGAGTGTGATTCCACCTGTGTAGGGTGCACAGGGAAAGGCCCGGCGAAGTGCAAAGAGTGTGTCCCTGGCTACACAGAGGAGAGCGGGCAGTGTGCAGGTAAGGGGTGCTGGGGGCAGAAGGCACTCAGCCTTGTCCAGGTGTCTGTGGAAGGGCCACGCATGCCTGAGCCTCCTGCATCCCATCAGCTCCAGGACTTCAGCCCTCTGCCCAAGGCCACCTCCACAGAGCATCTGAGTGCTGCTGAGCACACACTGGGCTCCCTGCGCTGGAGAGCCTGGCCTTGGGCCTAGGGCGAGGTCCCCAGTCCCTCCTAACCTTGCCCCATCTCTGCCTTGTCACCTGCACTTTCTTGTACGGATGGGTCCTAGGTGGACAGGTTTCAGTCAGTGGTGTATGTCTACTGAATGAAATAACCTCTCAAAGTGGGTATTTTACCTCAGATATAGATGAATGCTCACTAGCAGAACAACCATGTGCGCGGAAGAATGAAAACTGCTACAATACCCCAGGGAGCTTTGTCTGCGTGTGTCCTGACGGCTTCGAAGAGACAGAAGACTCGTGTGTGCCGCCGGCCGAGGGCGGTGAGTGCACCTGGGGGCAGGAGGGTTCCCAGACAGGGCTGCGTGGCTTGGGGACTCCCAAGTAAGACGAGTTACAGTCTGGGTCTCAGGATGGTGATGTGGGGCCCTGGCTCCCTGGGATGCAACTGAAGGAGCCCTGCACGGCCAGGAGCAAGGGCAGCAGGTGGGGAGCTGGTGTCGGTCTGCAGCTGCTGCGGGGCCAGAGTCTGTGCAGGGGGTGCAGGAGAGCAAGCGGCTTCGCTGAGGGTCTGTGTCAGTCAGTGGGGCCGGGTGGGGGTCCAAGGGCTGGCTCCTCAAGCTAGGAGGAGGGTCTGTTGTGGCCATTTCTTGCTTGTCCTCAGGTGGTCTTCCGTGCCTGGGTCTGTCCCTGTCCAAACTTCCCCTTCCCATGAGGACACCAGCAGGCCTCAGTCCAAGGCCCACCCCAGATCCCCAGTGCCTACTGATCATCTGCAGAGACCCACTTTCCAAACGGTGCCACAATCACAGTGGCAGGGTTAGGACTTCAGCACCCCTGGGGAACGGGTCAGCCTGTGCCGGTCTCCTGGCCTACAATACAGAGAGTTGGAGTAAGCCAGGTTCAAAGTGCTCACGACCAGGTCTTCCAGACTAAGACGTGGTTCCACACCTAGGAGTACTACAGGGCACAGCTGCAGCCCTTGTTGCCTGGTACCTCCCTGGCCAGTGCGGTCACAGCTCTGCACCCCAGCGGGGCTTAACCTTTGGTCAGGAGATAGCCCACACTGCAGCCACGCAAGGCTCTGAAAGGCCTGGGCATCCTGTATGGGGGCCGGGCTGTGGGGATTTCCTCCCGAAGCCGCCTTAGCAGGCTGCTGCGTGCAAAGGGAGCCAGGGCACAGTCCCCAGACCGTGGCCAACTGGAGGTCAGGGCAGGAGCCCCTTCGTCCCTCATGATGGCCCCCATAAAAGCCTGGTGTCTCGCTCTGTGACCTATATCTCCTGACAGAAACAGAAGCCACAGGAGACAACCCGACACAGTCACCCTACCGTGAGGACTTGTGACTGCACCCACAGCCAGAGCCAGACCCACACCTTAAATTATTCAGAAAGGCGTCTTGCAGGAACAGGGCCCTGTGGACGTTGCCCCCATTTCTCCAGGTGGATGACTGGAGGGAGCAGCTGTTGCTTCGAAATGGTTGATTCTCATTTGGCCTTTAAAAAGCTGCATTTCTTGGTGTTAAACAGATTCGTATATTTTGATACCGTTCTTTATAATAAAATTGACCATTGAAGGTAGGAATAAAATGTGTGGATCTGTGTTATTGCGTAGCGGTGCACACCTGAGATCCCAGCCATTCAGGAGCTGAGGCAGGAGGATTACAAGTCCAGGGCCAACCTGAGCAACTTGCTGGATCCTATCTCAACATAAACAAAAAGGGCCGGGAAGTAGCTGAGTAGAACACTTCATCCAGCCCAGGCAACGCACTGGGTCAATTCCCAGCGCAACGAAGAAAAGCGTCAGCCTCTGACATCGTGCCGTCCACCTGTCCTGGAGTTGCAGAGGTCCCGACTGTCCCTGAGCAGGGCCCCTAGCCCGGTGTTTGCTGCTGCCCTCCCCACGCTGTCAGGTCATCATGAGTGTGCTCAGGGACTGCTGTGGGCCAGATTGTCCCCACAGCCCTGTGTGAAGTTTGCTCCCCGCCAGGGTGCTTTGGGCAGAGCTCCCTGGAGGTGGAGAGTTGGGGCCCAGGGGCTGCCCCCACTCCTGTCCTTCCCACTGCCAGGAGCCATGGCCTCCCCACAGGGCCAGAGCCAGGGCCAGCATCGTGGGAGGATCCTCCAGGCCTTTCTCCTTTGCAGGGTGATCATCTAGGCATGTTACAGCAACGAAGAGCCAACTGACAGGCTGGCCCATGGGCTTCTGGCCCTGTGCTGTCCAGGGCCACATGGAGGGCGGGAGGATGGGCACCCTCACATGGGGAGGGAAAAGAGCATAAGCCAGGAAGAGTCAAGGAGAAGCAGGCCACAGGGTTGAGGCGCTCCCAGCACCCACCTGGCCCAGCATGGCAGTCTGCTGGCCTTGCCCTGCTCTGGCTCCCAGGACTTTGGTCCACCACCGAGAGCACTGGGCTCTACCTGCTCTAGCCCCAGCACCCTGGCCCTGACCTCCCAGGTCCCTCCAGCTGCCCAGCTCATCCTTGTGAAGGTTGCATGAAGGGCGGCCATGCATCCAGCTGTCCTGGCAGGATGACCTACACCGTGCAGGCCAGGCCTCTGGGTCCGTGGATTGGAGCCCCTGTAGGCAGGACATGGCCTCATGGCTCCAGAGGGCATGGTGGCCCCAGCCTGAGGACTCAGTAGGCACAGCCATGCCCACTCTACCAGCTGTGTCACCCTGGCTTCTCCGGGTCTACCCTCCATCCCCCTGCCCAGCCTGCTGTCCCCTCTGTCCAGCTCCAGGGGGATATAGGGCATGGGTGGGTGGGGGCCTTCATGGGGTGCAGGAATGGTCAGCAAGCTGTCGCTGTCATGATGTGCAACCAAGGGAGGTCGGGGTCAGAGCACGGCATGGGGGACATGGTGAGGGGACAGAGGCTGAGCCCCTGGGCCTCAGAGGAGAGATGCAGCCTGCAGTTGGGGACGTCCAGGACTCACGATGGTACGTGGGGTGGGCAGTGGTTGGACGAGGGGCAGATATGGGAATTGGGGCAGCCAGGGTCCCTAGGGTGAGGGTGGGGCCAGGACAGCAAGAGAGCCCGGAAGGGGGATGCTGGGGGCCCCAGGAGGATGCTCACTGCCGGGCACACTGAGCACAGAGAGGGGCCCAGGAGGGCACCTGGGGCTCTAGTGCTGGTAGGCATTGTCTCGGCCCAGGAGTGGTCACCAGGCTGAACGCAGGCAGCCGATCCCACAGCCTGCCATCCCTGGATCCCAGAGTCCTCCAGGTGGTGCTATGTCCCCATGCTGGGACTGTGGCCTGAGGGTACAGGTAGGGTGTAAGCCCCTGGGTGCCCGGAAAGAGGTCCCCATGCCACCGGAGGCCCAAAGATGCCCACCCCCTTGCCTGTTCCACTCTACTTCCCTGTAAACAAGAGGGTGTCTCCTGGAGGACCCAGGGCCTGAGGGTCCACGGCTGGCACCTGGAGGTGGACAGGATGCAGACAGGGCAGGAGGGGTGACAGCCCCAGCAGGGCCCCACCTGGCAGAGCAAAAGACAACTGGGTGTGGCTGGAGCGCTGGACATGGGCCTGGGGGCTTGCTTGAATGTGGTATCCACAGCTCAGGGCACATGGCCAGCAGGTGGCACTGCAGGACCACACTAGCAGACCTTCAGCAGGCCAGTGAGCCAAGTCTGTTCTGTGGAAAGCCACTCTGGTGCCCCTGCTGCGGGCTAGCTCCCAGGGGAGGATATCCTGTGGCCAGGTGAGGAAGGGGCCTTGGCTTTGACCTCCCCCCAGCCTCTGTGACCTGGGCCCAGCCAGGGCCTCTTTGCCATGACCCTTGTGTGGACCTCTGGGGCCAGGGCTTCTGGAAGTGCCCGGATCACTGCTTTCCCCTGCCCTCACTTTGAGTGTGGTCCGACTCTGCATTGTGGGAGCTGCAGGATGAGGTGTTCTGTGAGTCATTGGATGTCAGCAGTGGTGGGTATGATGCCTGGGGACACTGATTGTCCAGACTGGGGAGCAGGTAGGGCCAAGGGAACTGCTCAGCCCACCCCAGCCCCAAGCGCCAGCCTCGGGCAGAAGGGTGGGCTGGGCAGTGGCCAGGCTCCCTAGGGGGTTCCTGAGCCCACCCTGGAGACCCTGGGGCAGCCTTGCCATCCAGCAGGTATACAGGCCCTGCCAGGCCACGACCCAGCTACACCCCTGGGGGTCCGATGGAGCCACCTGCAAACCATTCTGTCTCCCTGGCTGCCTAGCCAAGTCTCTTCCATGGCAGGTACATCCTAGTGGGTGTTAAATGGGATTTAAAATGTCCACACAGGCGGGGCATAGTGGGATTCACCTATAATCCCAGCTACTCAGGAGGCTGAGGCAGGAGGGAAAACTAAGAGAGACCTTGTCTCCAAATAAATACAGTAAGTCCCCGACTTACAAACACTCAAGTCTTGAACTTTCATAGATGTACTGTATAAGACTCACTTTGTCTGCTTACGAATGAATCTGACTTACAAACAATTCTCCGGGAACAGAACTCCTTCATAAGTCAGGGACTTACTGTAAATTGGCTAGGAATGTAGCTTATTACACCCTGGATTCAATCCCCAGTATTGAAAAAAACCAAAAGTCCACCCTTGTATTCACCCATCCGTCTACAGCCTCTCCCGGGGCCCGAGTCCCTGTACCCCATCTTTCTTTCCCGGGTCCTGACAGATGTCCAGGCCACTACCCAAACATCCACTTCTCTTCCACAGGGATTACCAGGCTGCTAAAGGTGCTGGTGTTCCCCACCCATCCCAGCACTGACCCCAGCTGGCCAGGGCCACCCTGCAGCATCCCCAGGCAGCATCCAACTGCCGTGACCCTCCCTGGGCTTGCTAAACTTTCGACAGGTCGGTCCAAAGGGCTGGAGCCTGTGGCAGTCCAGGCTCACAGCCCTGGTGTCCTCTCTGGGCTCGACACTCAGCCTCACTCCCCGGCCCCCCAGTGTCGGGTTCTCCAGAACCATGTTTCTGACTCAACTTTCAACCTGCAGGGTTGTAGCCAGGGACAGAACCCTCTACAAATGTGAGCCAAAATAAACCTCTACTCTCAGCTGTGGGTTTTGTCCCAGCAATGAGAACAGTGGCTAAGACGCCGCTGCTTGGGAGATGACCTGAGTACAGGTTACTGACACGGGCACCTGGGTGGTGTCTGGAACAGCACCGTACTGAGAGGGTGAAAAGGACCACAGCCCTGGATCCCACACTGTGGACAGGAGCCAGGGCTCCCAAGCTCGGGGTGGGAAGGGGCACTCCTGCCATGCACCTGGAGCTGGGACCGCCATTGTGGTGGACGTCACAACTGGCTGTGACTGGGCTGGTATTTGCTCTGGCATCCCCAGGTTGCTCCCTGCCTTCCATAGTGGTCTGACTGCAGGATAAGCGGGATGTGAGGGGCCCCACCCAGCAAGCCCAAAACTTCACACATGTAGCTTCTTCCTATGTGAGGATCATGGTAGAGGCCTGCACTGGACTTCCCGATAGGACTTCCAAGGCCTGGTACCCACTGTACTGGGACTAGGAGGTCATCCAGGTGGGTGGCACTGGCCAGATTCCATCACCTGCCCGTGAGCCCCCACAGGGACCCATAATGTCAGTGTCAGCTGAGCCCTGGGCCTGGGGCCCTCCACATGCTGGCGTGCAGTGTCAGCAAGACGTGTGTCCTTTCTGCTGCGCAGTCACCCATGACTCATCCAGCTCTCCTGTGGGACTTGTCGCAGAGTAAACTCTTCCTTGCAGGGGCCCCTCTTTAGTACGGGGGCTCTGGGTCTGCACCCCGGCTTGGTCTGGAAATTGGGCAGAGTGATGTCTCTGTACACACGACCACCCTGGGCTTCCGGTCACGCAACCTCAACATCCCCTACAAGTCAGGCTCCCTGGTTGGCTGCCCACCTGGGAACACTGCGTCCTGCTAACCCGCTAACCTTGCCCACACCCCACAGGAGCAGGGCCCAGGGCAGCCACTGAGAATCAGAAGCTGTGCCACCACCCCCATCTCTGTCAGTGACGCTGTCAGTCCCTTGCCAGGAGCTTCCTGATCTAGGCCCCTGCCTCGGGTTCTCCACTCTGAGGAGCCAACTAGTCCCAACGTATCACGCATGTGTCCTGTATGGCCAGTGGCCACTTCCTCTTGGGGACTAAGCCCTGCACCTCAGGGGAGGACTCTGTGATCAGCTAGCTCCCCACTCCTGCCAGGTCACACTGCGGGGTCCTGAGGCTCCAAGAACAATCCCTTTGTCCCGTCCCAGGCCCCCATGTCCCTGCCAGGACAGGCTGGGCCTCGCTCCTCACTGTGGACCCAGAGCCGGTTCGAGGTGGGGCACCCTCTTCTGCGCCAGCACCCTGCCTGCCGCCTGCAGCCCAAGCCAGCACGCCCCTAGTGGCCGCTGATTCCTGCTCTCTTCGTGTCTCTTTCCATCCCGCTCTTCATTATCCTCAGGGAGTTACCAGCAAGATGACGCTGTCCACGAGATTATGCCTCCACACTGTCACGGTGCAGGGTCCTCCAAAGTGTCCCCTGGGTCCAAGGCTTGGTCCCCAGCTTGAGGCTACTGAGAGGCAGTGAGTGGACCGCTTACGGGGAACTCCGTGGGAGGTCTTTAGGTCTGGGGTTACCCTGGGGGGATCTGCAGGGCCCCAGCCCCTTCCGGTCTCTGCCTAGGGAGCCGGAAGGGGAGGCACTCTGCGCTCTACGCGCTCTCGCCAGGATATGCCCACCAGGATCGCCCAAAGCAAGGGGACTGGAGACCAGGGACAGAAACCCAAGACCCGAGCCAAGGTCCTCCTCAGAGCTGAGCATCTCACGTTTGCTGCAGGATGGAGGGCGGGTTTGCTTCCTCATCCGCCCTCCCAGCCCACCACCAGGGACAGTCGTGACACCGCTGGGGAGGGGAACCCAAGCCTTCTTGCCTGAGGGAGGCGGTTCTGAGGGGCAGAGGACAGGGCGACTCTGGGAGGGGTACTCTGCCTTGGGGGAGGGGTCCGGAATCGCGGGGGTGGGTGTCCAGGGACTCGCGGCCGGGGATGCACGCGGGCTGGGCGCGGCGCTGCGGGACGGGGCGGGACTTGGCGGGGACGGGGCGGGGCGGGGACGGGACGGGGCCGGACTGCGGTAGGGCGCTGGGACCCCGGGCTTGGAGCAGCTGGTACCTGCTTTTCGGTGCGGCGCGAGGCCCGGTAACCGCGGTCGCCGCTGGCGCTCGGCATGGGGTCGAGTGCGCCGGTCCGGCCCAATCCGGGCCGGTGTCCTCCGGTCCCGAGCGC